CCGTCAGCCCGAGCGGGCCTGCCCGAGGCGGCCGCCGCTGGGCCGGGGGAATTCAGCATCTCCTCAGCCTCGGGGGTCCACAGCAGGCCCTGGGAAATAATTTCTTTCTGTGGAACTGGAAACAACGCGAACCTGATGGCTTTGTACAGGACAAAAAACACGCAAGCAGACCTGGTGCATGGATAAATATATTAGTAAATAAATATATTTCTGAGCATATCAGCATATTCACACATCTTTGTTTCTATCAGACATAAATACACAGTTTTGCATATATATAAAACCTATTCTTTCATTTTGGGTCATAATTTATTCCCAAGCCCCAAGAGCCAGGACAGACTCAGCAAAAAACAAAAACAAACAAAAACTATATTCACATTTCAAAAGGATCTGAACTTTATAAAAGGAAGGAGCAGAGGGCTCCGAGCATCAATGGAGGAGGTCCAGCCAGCCTGGGCACGCTGCCCACAGTCACCCATCTCTGTGGGACTGAAGGTCCTGGGAAGAAAGTGGTCTCTGGGGAAGGATCAATGGTTCAGTTATGGATAGAGAGTTCAGGATGCTCTAGCTTCCATCAGTTTTCAGCTGGGACTTTGTCTGGATTCAAGGAAGGAAAATGAACTCTGTTGCTTTACAGGGATACTGATGAAATTCAGCAACTGAGCCTAAGGGTATTGACCACTCAAAAGTACCACTTGCAGAAGTGAAACGTTCAGGAATCAAGAGGGACCGTTTCCCATTTTCTCAGGTACTGCTTCTTCGCTTCCCTTCTAGGTGGCCAAGAATTGTAGACCATCTACTGAAGAGGATTTAAAAAAAAAAAACCAGCTCCTCCCTCTCTTCCCATCTGCGAAACCACCTAGACAAACCTGCAAACTCCCATTCAGCTGAGCAAACCCCAGGGAGGGGACTCAGCATCTAGGATGTCCATTTTCTGAATGAAAAGTAGCAGCAGCATAAAATCAGAAAATGAAAACACTTTAAAGTGGGCATTGCCCTGCACAGCCCAGTAATACTGCAGTAGGGAGTGGAAAGGGTTCTTTATTACTGACCGCTGACTCCAAGAAGCTTGGGGCTTGCTGCAAATACAAATACTCCTTTTTTAAAGTATAAGCAGTGAAAGAGAGGAGTCCTTTTAGACTGCAAACAAAGGAACTGCTAGTTCCTTTGAGGCACTGAAATGCATCCCTGGAGGCTCTCAGCCTTCTTGACTCCTAAAGAAACCAGTGGGAACACAGTGATTCTTGGCTGGATGCCAACACCTTGTGAAACCATGAGAGACCAGAGAGCACCCTGACTTCACAACCCTCCCCTCTCTAAAGTCGTTTGAGCCCTCCAGGATGGTCAAGCCTGAAGCATTGTAGGAAGCTGGTTAAGGCTATCCATATGCCACATGCACAAGATGTTGAACTGGGGGAATCTAGGTTGAGCTCCTGTTTTTTTCCTCTACTTTAAGAGTGACTTTCCTGTAAGGGAGAAAACATCTGGGCTTGTGTTTTCTGCTTGCTCTGTATGACAGAGAAGACAACCCTGCAAGAGTTAAAATATGATATGCATGATTCTTTCATGTTGGAAATTCAGCTCTTCTCTAGGCTGAAAGGTCCTGCAGTGGCTCAATCACAGGAGACAAGAAAATGACCATTGGGAGGGAATAATGTTTTGTTTAAAACTGTGTTATCAGTTGACTTTTGATAACAGCAGATGAATGTTAGTGACTGATGGGCAATTGAGACAAAGATGCCTTTTTTAAAGATTAAGGGCAGCAAACCTACTCTGTAAAGAGCCTTTATCAAACACAAAGGAAGGCAGAAGCAGGACTAATCTGACCTGGGACCACCTAACCAATGTCCTCTCTCAAACTGGGGAAGAAACAGATATTTCAAAGCCTGATATAAAAAGCCTGTCACAGAGCAGATGGAGGATAGTCTGTCCCCACACCGGGTTTCAAATTGTCAGAAATTACCTTCAGCTCTAATGTAGTATCCTTGCAAGTATTTCATTAGCATTAACTCTGCATAGTCTTGGTAGCCACGTAAATGTGCACTCCACACGGTGATCTGGCTAATTCTTTGGCGTGAATTAGCCTTTTGGGCAATGACCTCCACAGTCTAATTCCCTGCAGTATGAAAGCTGTTTGGGTTTTATATACTTTGAATTTCCCAGTCTTTATTTCAGTTGAATGTTCCCAAATTATGAGACATGGGAAATCAGAACTAGTGACACCCCAAAGATAAAAAGCAAGCAGGAAAAAAAGTGAATAAACCCAGAGCCTAGAAATTTCTCAAGCTTTCTCTCTCCATCATAAAAAATGCTAGATAAGGCAGAAAAGTATTTTGAGAAATTCATTTGCAGGATCATTTTAAAAGTGTCTCATATAAATATGAAGATGGGGCTGAGTGACAGATGGCTCACTGCTCTGCATTTGCTATGGATGCTTTTGCTGGGAATTTTTGCTGTGTCTTTGGGCAATGAGGGAGGAAGGGGAGAAGCAGGAGCCATGTGAACTCAAGGATTTTCCACAAGTCCTGTGGTGGGGTTATCTCAGATTTGAAACACGCTTAACAACTGAGTTGCTCATAACAGGGCTGGCCATAATACCCGTTTTGAGGGCAGATGGAGGAGTTAAAGGATGAGTGAGAAACTTGTTCACGTTACCAGGCAAGAGGGTGGATTCTGAGCAATGGAGGGAGTCTGACGCCAAGCTCTTGCCTGGAAATGGTAGCGTTGTCCCTGTATCTTCATCTCTCCTACTGTTGGCAAAACACAGCAAATGGACAAGATGGCTTCAGCTGAGAGATAGTGAAGTGATTAAAAAGTGGTGAGTGCTGTTGGTTTCCAATGAAGTCAGAGGAAGCACACTGCAGGGCAGACCTGTGAGTGCAGAGATAGCTTGTTCCTACGTCTGAAGTAAGAGTGGAAAAGCTAAATGAAGAAGTCTGGCTTTTGACCTAAGTGAGGAAATGAAGTCAGGAGTTGCCAGGCCACAGAAAGCCATTTCTGCAGCTTTTGGTCTTGAGGGCTTGTTCATTTTTGAAGTGTTTAGCAAAACCTTCTGTGGCAGGAACATGCTGAAATAGCAGCCTGCACTCACTCTATAAGCTCTCCAGCTGATGACTCCCAACACAGGTCTTTAAGTGAGCTAGCCCATGCAAACAGAGGCCGCTAGATGAAGATGGGCTGTCTGTGCCTTCAAAAGAGAGGGAGACCTGGAAAACATGGCTTTGTGTTTGTGTGACCATAACAATATGGAAACAAGTGGGGACACCACAAGGGAGTATCACATTACTTATTTGCAGCTTGCATCTTGGTGTGGGCCATGTATTTATTACATTGCCTGTGCAGAGAGCAAGATGTGAGCTCCGCTACTGCTGGTATTCTGAACTTCTTTGTCCACTCCAGCTCTCTGTAGTAAGCAAATGAGCCAGTGTTTTATTAAACTGAGTGTTCGTAGACATCCTGGACCTCCTCTTCAGATCCTGCATCCAAAAAAAAAGAAAAAGAAAAAGAAAGTGTAAACTACAACCAACTGAACCCTTCAGGATCTTGTAGCTGCTAGAGTCTTAATTCTACACTGCAGGGAACAGATACTACAGTGAAAGCCACTAAGTTTCTCCCACTTTTTTGGAGGGACTTTCCTGGCCATCTCCCCGCTAGTTTATTCCTCTAAGTTAATGCACGATCAAACCTACAGATAGGAGACACCAAACTACTCTTCAGATGTTTCAGAAAATACTGGCTAAGAGTATGGCGCATCCTAGGATTCACAGTGCAGCCAGATGGCTTTTTGGTATTTGCAATGTGAGAAAAATCAGAATAGACATTTTAGAAATTATTAGTAACTGAAAATAACACTGATTCATATTCACACAATGCCACAGCAGTGCTTTCCATGCACAGGGGACAACAACAAAAGAAACTCCAGAAAACAAAAGGAGTCTGCAAAGGTTGCGTGCATGCAAGAAAGGGACTGCACACGTGTTTCACCACGTTCAAGAGGGATGAGCTAAGCTGCACAAATTGTTTCCGAGTTCCAAAAAAAGGCAAACCCAATGAGTGGTGATTGGCCACTGATGCCAATCTTGCATGCCCAGCCAGCAAGGACTGCAGTTCATGCTCTTCACAAGCCTGTAAATGTGAATTATTTACAGGCAAATGCTGAATAGTTTACATTAAAACATTTCAGCGTAAGGGCTGCCTAGAAACTGCGTACCCTTAGTTACGGCTTCAAATATTCCATTTCTCTGCAGTGTGACTGAGTGTTCAGGCACACACCATGTTCCCTTTCCCAGATGTCTCTCAAGCCTGCCCAGAGCGCTCAGGTAGCGTAAGCATATCCCAGTAAATGCATACGTGCATTATTTCTCACATTGCCCTTTCCTTGAATGTGTTTGAGATCAAAAGGAAATAAATGCCTATCTAAATATTCACAGAGAGCTATTCAAAACAACTTTTAAAAACAGTCACAGCAAATTCTCCTTCATTACAAGTAAATCACCAGCTGTAGAAACAGGACCTCTACAAATTAAATATATGGGAAGAAAACAACTAAATGAGATTCAACTTTGAAAACGTAGCTAATAGATGTGGGAAAATTAATGCCCAGACACAGCATTATACATATATATGTACAACAAAGATAGTATTTCAGAGTATCTGACCTTTGTGATTTGTATAACCAGTACATTGAATAATCCACTGCCAACTGCTTTTCCTGTACGCTAGCTTACACGCTACACAAAAGACACTTTCAGCTTTGATCACTCTGTGATCAGTCAGAAACCCTGAGTCTCAAATCATATTATTAAAATTTGTTATGAAAACTGTGCCTCTCTGAGTGTCCTCAACTTTCTGTACCTGTTTTATAAACAGAAAGAAAGGTTAATTAAGAACAAGCTGTGAATCAGGAGATATAGAGGGGGTAGAACTTAGCTATTGAACTGGCCATCAAGAACTGAACAGGGCAAAGGACCTGAGGGAGCACACCTTGGCGATACAACGAAAACCCTGTTCCTTGGATATTATCTTTTAATGGTGATCTTTTTCTGCCCTCTAATCCCTTTCTCCCTTCTCCAGTAATGATCAAAGAAACAACATGAAAGAGAATGGTTAAGAAGGCAAGCAGGAGATGGGGGGGAGAGGGGGAGGATGCTGACAGTGGGCTGGAAGAGATGAGATTTCCCAGAGAGAGCAAGCAAGGGACTTCATCATCTTGTGCTGGGAGTAATCTGGCTGTTCTGGGATAAAATGGGGTAGTTTAGGAAGCCATCTAGCTATAATTCACTGTCGCTTGTCTGACTTCTTTTAAAGGATCCATTCAGTATTGCTTAAGGATTCTTCAGTGAAACCAGTCAGTGCTGTAACTTCCAGGTATACTCTCCCAAGACAAAAGAAGTTGGGGGATAGCTTTATGCAAACCTCCCCACGGAAAAGGTAGTGGGGGTGCTCAAGGAAACTGCATAAACTCCAAGGTCAAGCAAGCATCTCTGGGCTAATCTCTGGCAGCCTGGCAATGGCTGTGGGCAGCATTACTCCCTGTGATGCCAGTGCATGGAACAGCCTGCCAAAGTGGAGCTTCTCCAGGGGTTCACGGACAAAGCACCAGCTTTAACTTGCAGCTGGGTGAGGTAAGCATGCACCTGGAGGGTGCTCCATCCCACAGGATCCCTGTCAGCTTCTGGAAACCCTGGTTTAGGGACTTCCTGAGCCAGAGATTATATTTGCATCTTTGTATTTGATAGCTCTTGATCTGGGATCTTGAACCCATTTTACTTTTAGCATCTACATCCCCTGGGCAATGAGCATCGCAATTTCATTACGCACTGTGTGTTACCTTATTGGGTGTTTTAAAGCTTTTGTCTCCCGTTCGATGCCACGAGTTATTTTGTTATAAGAAGCAGTGAATAATATCTCCTATCCGCCTTCTCCCCTACTCTCCGTGATTTCATAGATCTGTTTTATATCCTCTGCTAATCATCTTTTTTCCACATGCAAGTCTCTATATTCTTTCTTTTTGCTCAAACAAACTTCACAATTGTGATTGTTTTTGATATCTTCCTATACTTTTCCTAATTCTACTATAACCTCCTCTGAGAAGGGGTGACAAGATCTTCGTGGGGGACTCTAGAGGTGAATGCACCACAGATTCAGGCAGCTGCATGACGGTGCTTTCTGCTTTGTCCTCTGTTGTTTCCCCGGTAGTTCCTAATACTACAATAAATTGCTTTTTTTGACAGAACTACTCACTATTTTCTGAGTTAAGTAAGAAAGGCCTATCACTGTGCCTGTGTATTTAGCAGCAGTTCTGTTCATGGGTGGCAATTTGTGTCATTTACACAGAATTTCATCTGGCACTTTAGTACCTGATAAGTCAGTAACAGGAGATCCTGCCCTAACGCTTTGTAACCAGTTTTAGAGCTGACAAAAGCGATTTTGTGTCTTCTGCAAACTTTGTTATCTCCTCTCCTTGTCCAGGCTATTTATGAGCTTACTGAAAAATGCAGATAGTTGGAGAATTCCACTTTCCTCCATTTCCTAGCAACTTTCCTCCATTAAGACTGATCCACATTTTGTCTCTTATTTTTTAACTAGTTAATTACCTATGAGAGATCCTTCCCTTTTATCCTTTGATAGCTTCATTTCCTTAAAAGACCTGCGAGGCATTCTCTCTCTCTCTCTCTCTCTCTCTCTCTCTTTCTCGACAAAAGCTGTGTTACCTCCTCCTCTGGATTTCACATTTAGCCATGTGTCTACAAGTCAGACCCTGTATTTGAATTTTTAACGATTTGCTTGGCAGGAAAGTCAGGCTCATCATTCTGCAGCTTCAGCTATTTTGAGCTGATATTGCCTATAGCTCTTCCTGCTGGCTCCGGGGATGGGTAATAGATTGCAGTCCACAGTTTGTGGTTTAGCAGGTTTCTATCTGAGCCCCTGCACAGTGCTCAGGTGAGTAAGCTGTAGCCTTGGCAATTTGTTACTATTCACTTTATTGATATGTTTCAGAAATGCTTATACTGATGTTTTGATTTGTGAGAGACCCTCTAACTCATGCCCCGAACAGAGATGTACCAGTATAAGAATCTCCTCAAGCACTTCCATGCTGATCTCTAATACAATAAATTCATTTTACTCTTCTGTTACTATGCTGTGTCCCCTGAACGTGCCTTATCGACCTGCACTACTCCTTGGACCTGCAGAGGCAGGCTCTGGCAGGCTTCTTGCTTCTGATGGAGTTGAAAACATTTTTATTAATAGTCTTTCTGTTCTTTACAAGTTGTTCATAGAAATCTTTCCTAGCCTGCCTTAGCTTTATATCTAACTCTTTTCTGTTTTCTTCATCTAGGCACACCTAAGAGTGGCTTGTTACTTCTAATGGCCTTTGCTCTGCTGCTTCGATAGGCCTTTTCTGGGGCCTTTTAATGGTTGGGGATATGTATTATTCTGGGCATCTGGTATTGTATCTTTAAATGATCCCTGTGCCCAAAAGCATCTTATTTTTTTGACTGCTTCTTTTAATATGATTCTCATATCAGAAGATTCTCATTTTTATGGAGGCTCCTCTTTTGCAGTCTTTCTTTGCTAACACAGCTTATCATAACAAACACTAATACTATACTCTTCCTGCTCAGGCACAATAGGGGATTTGGTGTTACTTGTCACTGGACTTTACACTCTCTTTAATCCATAGTGCCCCTCCCATGCTACCATGACATACTCCTCTGTATAATTTCACCTGGGGAATTACAGAGTCCCTGTGTTTTGTTTGTTTTTTTGCTGGGTTACTGAAAATTTTAAAACACAAACTTCATTTAAAGCTAGGCCTTCCAATTCATCCACCTATTTTTTAGCCTTCCAACATTTATCTAGAGGCATATATACATTTCTCCTTGGTTTCCTTGTCTTATTTTTTGTGCATCCTGCATAAATGGGACTGTCTATTGAGATTGATCTTTGCTGTTTCTTACCTGTTCTCTATTGATTTATGTCCAGTCCCTTTCTAAGATAAAGAACTGATGTGATGAGAACTATTACATCAAGCAGCATGTTTTCAGCTTGATGGCTTTTCTGTATAAGCCCTGCATGAGCTCTCACTGTCCTCAGCTTTCCTCATTTCCTCGTAAAGCAAAATCCTTCCTCTGTGTATATTTTCTCTGTCTTATAAGGAGGTTTTGACTCGCTAGCTGGCCCTGGAAGCATTCATAGAAGCTACTGCAGTCAAATGGACATAGAGCTGGGCAGCTTTCAAACACCTCAGCTCTTCTATAGCCTGGTAAAGGCAGGTAAGAGGAAATGAAGACTGTAAGTGCTTAGCAGAACATTCTGGCAGTCTCTCTGGAAGGGTGTCTGAGTACCTCCCTCCCAGGCACATCAGCAGAAGGAAGGCACAGAAGTACAACAGGAGAGCTGGGCTTTGGACACAATCTACAAAGAGATGGAGGCACCGCACCACGCATCCTTGCAATGCCCTGGACACAGCAGCATCCAGAGCCCTTTGCTAGGCACGCAGGCTCCTGCTCCGGTGAATCAAGGAGTCTTCCCAGAGCCCATAGCCTAAGCAGGATGTGGCCTAGGCCAGTGAGTGCCCTGAGGGGATCCCTGCTTCCTCAGGGAGCTGGGCTCCTCCTCGAGCAGGGAGTCCCCAGACGGGAGCTCTCCCAGGGTGGTTCGCAGATGGGGAAGGGCACAGACAGGAAGAGAATAAACCAGAGGCTGAAAAACTTCAGAAAATTTGGATGGTTGGTGAGAGAGGAAGAGGCACTGCTTAAAATGTGAATATATCAGAGAGAAGACCAAGAACTGGCAGGACATCATACATGTCCTAGAATGGAAGCAGGGCAGTAGTAGCCAAAGCCACTATACCGTGTTTCTTTGAGACTCATGCACACAGATGAACGTTGCGCAAGCCAGGCAGCTCTGTTCCTAAATCTGTCTGCTCTTGTTTCTGCTCTTTTGCCCTTATCCTTCTCTCTTAATGAGAAGCTAAGAATATGTAAGCAGATACAGAACTCCTGCCTCCCCCATACAGGACTTATACAAAAAAAAAAAAAAAAAAGAGAGATGGCTGCACCTATACTGCCAAATGAGAAAACGCTAAGGCTGACATCTGGGGGCAGCTGACTGGATCACCACACTGTCAATATGATGGCTCACTCCCAAGCTCTCTTTCTGAGATGAATGGATCATTTCCCTCACGGGGATGTTTCTGCACATGGCAGGACCTCTCATAGCCCACAACATCCTGCATCTGGAGAGCGTCCACACTTTCATTGCAGGGACAATGGCCCAAGGTTCCATCCTTGTTGCCTTGCTTACTTCTGCCCTGCTCTGCAGAGGCCGACTACCATTTGGCATATCAAGGCAGGATGGGCACTGCTCACCCTCTCATGCAAGAGAGGCTTGGTAGACCAGAAAGGAGCAGGGAGGCCTGGCATGAGTAGAGGCCTCTTCTGCTCCCACTCCCACCAGGACTTGCTTGAACCAGAACATGGTTGCCAGCCACTGAAGTACCTGGAGGTGCAAACTGACCCCACTATGCCAGGGGACGCTCTCCCCCAGTGGCGGCAGCTGTGTTAGGGCTTCTCTCTGAGCAGACCTGGATCACAGACTGTCAAGGAAGGCACCTAGCCCAAACCCCTCAAACACTACTGCAGCCCACAGGCAGGGCGGGTGTGGGTGGCAGAACCCTGCACTGTGTTTGCAGACATCACCAAGGTGCAATGTGCTTGCCTGCACTGTTCTCCCCTACAGACACATCTGGAAGAAGCACAAGCTGCCCTGAGACCAGCCAACAAGAAGGCAAGGACCTTAGCGTTCCAGCGGGAGCCGTGTAGCAGGTGAAGTCAGATGTGACCAGGCCACAGAGAGCTGGGTCCATGGTAAGTATTTCCAAGCAGAGGGGGAACAGGCTGTTCAGGAAGCAGAGGAGACTGCTGGAGAGAGGCACCAAAAGCTTCTCTAGGAGCTGCTTACGTTCTCCCTTGTTCATGGTTTCTTTGCCCTCAGGGTGGCATCATGTCCCTGGAAGCTGCCCCTTCCCTATTAGCACCCAGACTTGGGGTTGGGGTGACGCGCATGTCCAAGCCACACCAACCCCTCGGTTTTATTTTGAAATGTGAACTCAGATCAACTCCTGAGCAATCTGCCATCATATCACAAGGGCCTCTCCAAGCAGAGGTCTTCCTTTACGATCCTGGGAGAGGTTGTCTCTCTGATGATATCACTGCATACTGCTTCCAACTCAGAGCACGTCAGCACCAGAAAGCTACTGGCAAATTAGAGACATCTCTCTACTGCTGCCTTCTATCACTTGAAATGGCAGTATCCCTCAGGGCCCTTTGAAGAAACTCCCATATCACCTATCTGCAGCGTTAGGCACTTCTGTGCCCAGGAAAAAATCTGTTCCTGAGAGCCCGAGAGTCCAGAGCACCGTAGGCAGTGAGTGCTGTGCCCGGTGCACATCCCAGCTTCCTCTCCCTTCCCCCTGCTACCTTGTAGACAGGCACTCCAAGATCAGGAGCTTGGGTGTGGTGTAAAGGCTGGAAAGACTTGCAGGGGAGGAAGTTATTATCTCCATGTTACAATGGGCACACTGAGTCATGAGTTTAAGGCCAACATTTTAACAGAAATTAGGCAGCTAGATGTGTATTTGGTACCTAAATCAAAATGATTTGCCCAAGGACCTGCAATGAGTCAGCTGCAGGACGAGGAAGGGAGCCAGGTTCTGCTCTAGGAGCCAGCACCCTGCACATGCTGACTTGCAGGTAAGTATTTTCAGAAAAGTCTTAAGAGAGCAAGACCTGGGAGCTAAACCTTGTTAGGTTCTTTCAAAAAATTCCAGTCTCAAATGTATTTTCTGCCTCAAGGAGAGGCAGAATTGACATACAACAGTGAGGCAAAGGGCCAAATTTTAATTATGTCTGTTTTCAAAAAGACCCTAAAAAGTAAATCCCACACAACCAAGGCAGATGAGAAATGAGGGATGTGTAAATCCATAAGCTCATCTAGTCTGTTCTCCTATTACCACAAGCCATGGACACTCAGCTCCTTATCAAGTTCAGTAAGTTGGGGCTGACTAAAACAACTAAAGCCCAGTAAGCATTAATGATAATGAATCTTGCAGTAGGACAATCCAGATTAATATAAGGACACTGTGAAATGTGGTTCTACCCTTTCCTTTGGGAGATATTCCAGTTTCTAGTGATTCTCGTTTAAAAATATCCACCTTATCTCCAATTTGTATTATTTTAGGATGAGATAGCAGTGTCTGTTGCTTTCAGCTGATTCATTAACAGACCAAAAGACTTGCTGATCATTCAAGCAATCACCTCAGGACAGTATCTGAAATTCTTCTGTGTTCACCTGTTATCAGTGGTTCTGCAGGAAATCCCACTGTGAAGGTACAAAAGCCTGTGCACATGTACCCAGAGTATCCTCACAGGCAGCCTGCAACAAACCACCCTTATTCATCTGTTTGCTGAAAGAAGAGGCGAATAACAGACTTACCCTGGCTACGTTGCTGAGATTGGCAGTGAAGGTGAAAACTCAGACTGTGTCTGGGGGTGCCTGTCCCTGAGAAATCAACAGGAACCATGTGGTTTCCCTCCTGTCCTGACAACCCATCCTCCTGCTTTTTCACCTCTGAGCTGGACTGCGGGACTAAACACTTCCAAAGGGGCCGAGAGCCTGAGCCACAGGGCAGGGGAGCATTTGGGATCAGGGGCTGAACTTCGGGCGAGCAGCTGTCGCCAACAGGGTGGCCATAAGGAATGTGAGCATTACAGGCTTTGTGCAAGTCTGAGTCCTCGGGAAGGTGAACGGGATCAGGCTCCAGGAGACACTTTCTTTTCCTTCTGTGATGACGGCTGTGTAAGCTGTGCCTCTGGGGCAGTGGGACGTGGGATGTGCCAGCTGCTCCCGATTGTCTGTTGGCATCTACACTGAAGTCCAACCTGTTTGGAGAAGCAGCAGGGGCATCAGAGAGCTCAAGGCCTTGCTGGAGACAGGCTGGCTGTCCTGCCAGAGGTGCCTCTGGTGACACAGTGCTACTTTCAAGAGGCTGCAGACAGTGATGGGTTTTCTCAGTCCTCTTTTGTGTTCGAGCACTGTGGAAGCCAACCTTGGCCCCGGAGTACCGGGGCTTGCGCTGGCTAGGCCCCTGCCCAACCCGCCCAGGTGGGCACTCTGCGTCTCTTCTGTAGTGATGATGCTGGTGGTGGTGGTAGTGGACGTGGCTGAGTATCTGGGACTTGGCTGGAGCAGCGCTCTTGGGCACCATTAGGTCCAAAGACCTGGGCCGCATCTCCTTTGTCAGCCGCTGCTGCTCCTGGCCGTTGTCCGTGGCAGGTCCCTCTGAGCTACAGTATACAAAGGGGTCAAAGTCACTGCTGAGGGAGCTGCGGAAAGTGGAGCAGCTGCCATGGATGCCCTGGAGACTGACATCTGTGCAGTTCAACATAGAATCACTGGAGGAACCGTGACAGGGCCCAGAGCTGGAGTCACTGCCTGGCCCATCTGCCAGGTACCCACTGTGCTCTGTGAGATAGCTCTCCCCAGAGCCGCTGCTGTTGTGCTGGTGCCCATGGCCAGCTCCCCGGCGCAGGAGGGGCGCACGGTGCTGCTTCTGTGGCAGGGCTGCCTTGAGCCCCAGGCACGGGGGCTGGTGCTGAAGAGAGCAAGTCCTGTGGGAAGGCAGTGTCTGTCCACATGCCGAGGGGTTGTGAAGCTGCTGGCCCGGGGCAAGGGGGGAAGGATGGCTGCAGGCAGGCAGAGAGCTTGCTGGCCTGTAAGGCATGTAGTGAATAGTGCTGAAATCCAGCTGGGAGAGCTCTGGAGAGCGGAAGAAGGGGTTGCTGTGAGCAGGCTCCGGGGGGAAGCTCCTGAGGTTCCTCTGGGAATAGGCATGTGGGAGGTGATAAAGGGCATGTCCTGGGTGCTGGCGGAAAAGGTGGAGCCGTCGTCCGGGCTCTATATCCTGAGGAGTCAGCCTGGAACCTGGAACTGTGGCCTGGTCCACAGAGTCTCTGGCTAGGAAGAAAGAAGGGAGCATCCAGCACACATCCTACAGCCCAGCTGCAGTAGCCCCAGCACCAGCAAGCCTGCACTCCACTCCATGTCCCGCAACCATGTCCCACTCCAACTCCTCACTGCTGCCAAACTATCTTGATGACCCTGCACCACACAACAAGAACCTGGCACCCTTCCTGCTGCCCCAAGGCTCAGATCCTAGCATCCTTCCCTGCAGGTCCCACTGCTCTTGCTCTATGACTGGTAACCCCTCCCATTGGCACCAGTCCCAGCATCCTGCCATACACCGCTCTAGGTGTGGAAGCTCACGCACATTTTCCCCCCCCCCCCCTTCCATTCCCCCTGCCTCTTACACTCACACATGTTGAGACATGCTCCTGCTCCCACACCGACTGTTTGCATCACTCCCAAAGCCATGCAGACCTCCTGGGCACAACCCCTGCGCACACACCCCTATCCCTGGCTGGAAAATGCTGTGTCTGAGCCCTACCAAGAATGTTGAACATGCAAAGTGGACAAGTGTGGTGTTGCTGCAGCCAGGGGTCAACACACTCCCGGTGAAACTCATGTGAGCACGAAATGATCCGCAGTTCCTAGGGAAAGGTGGAGAGAAAAGGATGAGGGTGAATGAGGAGAACCACGTCCCAGGACAGGGGCACACAGAGAGGGGCTCTCCTGATGCTCCAGGAATCAGGCCTAGTAGGATGGAAAGACGTCTAACAGTGGGCAAACGGCAGACCAGTTTTGCATGGAAGAGGCTGTTCTGCAGCCTAGCATCTCTGGTTCTGGTCACTGTGTCCAGCCATGGTGGTGTGAACGGCTAGAGAGGTACCTGGCCCCCTCCAAAATACAGAATTTCATACTGAGCACTTTGGAGAAGCAAATTCCCTTTCTTCCCCGTTGTTTCAACATGGGCCCGTTACAGACATTTTTAACCTACAGAGACAGCAGGAAACCCATCCGTAGGGAATTTGAACCTGCAAGCAAGTGACTTCAACAGGGGCAACGCTTTTTGGCCAAATTACAGGGCAAGGCTCACCTCTTTCACTGCTTGTCCTTTCCCAGCCTTTGGGAGCTGCTGAAGGAAACCTCCCAAGGGCCTCCCACCCAACTCGGCTGCCCAGCTGCCACTGCAGCTCCCCCCATGAAGCGGCCAGAAAGCTCAGAGCTGTTGCTAATCGGCAGACGTGCCCACAGCTTACCTGACCCTCGCTGAACTCCTCCAGGCAAATAGCACAGACTGGGGCTGAGCTACAGCTGCTTGCTGAGTCCCAGCGAGATGCCTGTCGGAATCTGGCCTGGTACTTGCGTGTGGCTAGTTGCCCAATGGCCTGCATGGTCTGCTGCTGTAAGGAGTCCTGCAAGAAAGGAAGGAGACAGGTTTCAAGAAACAGTAGGGTTAAGCCAGGCACCTGCTGGCTGGAGAGTTGGATCAAAGGGAAAAGGCTGCCCTGCACCAGCTGTCAGATCATGAACGACACCTGGCAATGCAGAACTAAGGCAGCATGGTCTGGCTGCTGGGACAGCACATCCCCAAACCCCACCCTGTCCCTGCTGTCACCACTACCAATTCCTGGGCTGCCTGGGGAAGTCCTCCATGAATGCCAGGTGCCTCCAGACACCCATCCATGCCAAATGCCTGAACCTCTCCTGGGCCCCCTTCCTTTGCTAAAGGCTTTGATGTCCCCAGCTAAGTGCACTTAATTAATTAATTAATTAATTGTGATTGATTAATTAAGGTAGGTTGCATGAAGGCTTGTTTAAAAACAGAAGAATACAAATACAGGGGCTCCAATATAAACACCAGGACAACATGTTCAGAAATGAGTGTTTAAATGGTTACCACTTTGGCTCAACAAGCAATTTGTCTGGTAGTTGAATACTTCCTCAGTGCAAATATACTGTGTCAAACATAAGATCTCAAGCCTCACCATCCACTGATGGCCAAATAAACCAGGGGAATCCTGAGTTCATTCACAGAGGTCTGTTATGTGATATCATTACAATTTAGAAAAACAGTTTCTGAGTGCAGGACTGGAAAGAAAACAGAATGTGTTTGTGCCTGCTGTCTATGGAGATGGACACATGCATTAAACCAAAATCCACTCTCAGCAGGGTAAGCAGATGTGCTGTTAGCTACCCTATTTATTAACACAGGGGTACCATGCGCCTGCCTGCCTCCAAGCAGAGGAGTATTTAAATGCAAACAATTCACAGCACTAACAGCATCCTTGCTGGTGAGCAGAACAATCTAGATTGGGCTTTAATCAGCTTTCTCCTACATATGAAGTCCCTAAAAAGGCAAAGTGTTACCTAAGCCCTGTAACTCTATCCTTCTAGCAGGTGAAGGACCACGGGGAAATGCAGCTGAAATGGACAGAGAATGAGGAGCAAATGTTCTACACGCGCCACTGAACATGCAAGTAGATGGTGATTTTCAGCAAGTTGTAATGTAGCTATATGCATCCTGATTTTACCAAGGCCAGTGAAATGTTCTTCTTTACCCTCTGATGATATGAGCCTTTCCCCTGAGAAATCCCTTGGCTCTTTTCTGATTCATGGAAGGTTCATGAGCTGGTCCAAAATCAGTGCAAACATTTTGAACTTTGACAAAACAGTTGTCCCAAATCCTTGCCTAAAAGTGAAGGGTTCCCAAATTTTAAGAAGCTGAAATCAAAAGGTTACAGTAGAAAATATCAGATCACCTCAGGTATAGGTGTCCACTTAAGAGCTCTGTCCCTCTAGAACAGAAATTTCTCTGAGGCTTTGCTAGCCATGTTTAAACAGATATACAGGAGTTAACATGTTCTTATTTACATCCGCCCCGATGTACTGCTTTAAGGAGAAAGTCAGTCTTATATTTTCACATTTTTCATTTCTCTTCCATTTTCCAAATGGAATTATTGCAGATTTGGGGGTGATATTCATTTCCAGAGGTGACTGTGTAACCTGGCATACCCAGAGGGGACTTTTCCACCAGCAGGAGACAGCTGGTGCTGGACATCCCAAATCATTCAGCAGTGCTAAATTTTTGAGCCTCAAAGCTTGTCTTCCTACAGGAAAAACTGATTATTCTCAAATCTGCAAAAATGTTTGACTCTGGAAAGACTTTTGTTTAATTTGTTAGTTTCTATAAAAATATTGAAACTTCTGTTCTCTATCAATACAGATAGTATCGCTACAGCAAAGAGCTTGTGAGCTGGCTTTGCTGCCCCCAGCATTACAGCCTTAGGCCCTGGGACAAGCTCTGAAATGGTGCTGGGGACTGTAGCAGGCTGTTGCAAGGCTGGTAGGGCGGCATGGGGACTGCAAGGCCACTGTCCAAGAGATGACAGCCCATCTCAGAATTGCACTGCATGTCCCTGTGATGTACATGCCTCGTGTGGCCAGGTCTCCAGTTTGCAAAGAAGCACGCTGCCTCTCCCAAACTGGGTCCACGGTTGCCCTTGATGCATTTCTGTTCGCTCAGACCCGTTTCTTCCATGAGATTCTTACCTGAGTCCTGTTCAGCTGGCACTTTGTGCGGACAACAAAAATCAAAATGATGACAACGACAGTGCTGACCACTGTGAGAAGAATCCACACGTCATAATCTGGCTGTTGGATAAAACAGGAAAGAAATTATCCTTGTGTGGCAGAGTTGGGAACTAGAGGCTAGGCAGGGGAATCCTGATCTCTTCCTGGCCATCAGCCTTTGAATACATAATTCTTGGCCAAGCTCTACCTCCTTGCTCGTTATAGGTAAAAGAAAAAGGGTTCAATTTTTTCTGCAGATTTAAGCAGGAATTGAATTTCTCTCTTCCAGCATCTCAGCTCACTAGATGCTATGGTCCAAGGTACTGTAAGATGAGAAAATCAAGGGTTAGCCTCACCTGAAGAGACAGGAAATCTTGCCTCACTCATGCTTAAACAAGAAAAACTGTAAATAAGCTGAAGCACTTTGGAGTATTTATTTGCTGCATGTTATCTGAATGTTGCAAAAAGCTGTGGCCTCCATCCCTGGGAAGAAAAGCTCAGCACCCTGGGGAAGTCCTATTCCATGACAGAGGAGCTTGGGAAAGAGGATACAGAAGGCAGTGGGAACGGTGTGTCTCTCACCCAAGCTGGTGGTTCCTTGACCTCTATCTTCACGTGGGCCTCTCTGTTCTTGTTCACGACACCCATGAGAAGCTCAGCATCGTGGCCCCTGATCAGAACCACAGGCTGACTCAGACCCCTGGGCTTTCTCAGCTGTAAAGAAACAAACATGGTGAGAGATGGTCCAGAACAGCCTGAAACAGGGACTATACTTTCCTCCCAGCCATGCCAGGTGCCTCCTAGTGCTTTACACAAACACTTTAGAGGCCAAGGCTGCTCTCCCAAACTGACACTATCACTCTGTGAAAACTGTTCTGCATCACATGGAAGCTTCTTTTTCTGTTTCAGCTGCTTCACCAGTTCTTCATCAGAATGGCTTGCTTCATTTCCTCCTATAGCTTAACCCATGATAGTGTCTTCTCTTCAAGCACAAATGGACACTGCTCAGTGTCTCCTGTGCTCCTCTTTCAAGCCCCTGTGCAAAAGTTTAGTCTCTCCTCTCCCATGTGGCAACTGCCTGTAACACTACTACATGCTGCCTTCTCTGCAGTAACACTTCACCTTCTTTTTCTGTGGGACTCGTGAGAGAGTCTTCCTCCTCCACCCCATTTGATCTGTATGACATTCAGTTTGTTCTTGATCATATGTGCATTTTTCCACCATGGACATGTAGTCCAAGCAGCCGGGCATGGGCTAACTCAGCAAGTGGCCAAGACTGCTCTGTCCCCAAGAGTGAACTGAATCAGAGGTGGCCTTCTGACCCCACTAACCACTTCCCATATGCTCAACAACCTTCGTATCACCTCATGGACCGTCACCTGCTGCTGCATTTCTCTAGCACCAGGAATTAAGTCGTAAGCGATGAAAGAACCACAAGGATGGATCCAGGGACCAGGAGTCAACCCGGAGTTTTGCTTAACTCAGGTCCCAGCTCTCCCTATTTGTCCTCTTATCTAATACTGGATGTTTTTCATTATGCCTTGATTATTAAAATGGGAAAGCTATTCCTCTCCAGAGATGACAGTAGTGTTTGTGGAAGGGACCTCTGGAGGTCTCTAGTTCAATGTCCCACTTGCAGCAACGTCCCACAACAGCAGACCAGGTTGGCTGTGACTTTGTCTAGACAAGGCTTGAAAGCCTTGAGAAACCAGCCTTCCTCTAGTGTACGCCAGGCTTGTCAGTATGAGATGGGCTGTGGTATCTGTGACTTTCCAGGGTAAGTATCCAGCTTCTGGCAGGAAAGGTAATTGAACAGGTAATATTCTTCAAGAGCAACAAGGTGCTGTTTGTTTGCAAGCTTCTTAGCTTGCTTGTGTTGCCTGGAGATCTGGATGGGTCACGAGGTTAGCAAGAGAAAAAAGTGCTCTTTGTGTGTATGGATGAGCTGGGTAAGAGCTACGAGTCAAAGCTAGCCTGTATTAACTTCCTGGAATCCAGCGGCACCTGTACCTCCCACTGTGTGTCGGTGGTTGGTGGGTCCTGATCTTGCACATTCTGGGATGGGGCAGAAGGACTGCAGTTTATCTGATAGTATCAGTAGGGTCTGTACCTGCTCAGCAGCACTTTCATCATCGGTAATGTCAAAAAGGATAGCACGGGCTCCACGCTCCCCCGCCAGCTTTGCCTGTCCAAAAGAACAAAACCTTGAGTGGACATTTTATATTGTACATCTGTATTGGCATCTACTGTTTGGATAGGCATTTGCCAGGCTCTCAATGGGAGAAAGAAGTGTCTGCTGCTTAGATTGAGAAAATAGTTTATATGTATATTTCTGTGCTTGTGCTGAGCTGCAGTGAGACTGTGGCTTTTGGACGGCTTCTCCCTATAGTTGCAGAGGTGCGTTAGTTGGTGGGTTTCTACTCACAGCAACCCATAAACCTAAACAGCAAATCCCCTAAATGTCTGTGCCATGTGTGCCCCTTCGCTTCAGAGTCGGATTTGCTGGGGAGGGAGCTACAACTGCATTAGCACTGCTCATGGCTATTTAACCCCTCCATCCCAGGACAGCAAAAATCCTCTGCAGGTCCCCCATTCTTATTATGACTGCACCAGCCATGGGCTGTCTACAGGCCTGACTCCCATATACATGCACTGTACATTGCTTTGTGTAATCCCTGTCCCCTACATTCATCAGGGAGAGGCTTAGGTGATCCCTGGACTGCAAGTCTGATCTAGGATTATGAGTCAGATCACTCTTGCTGTGCTTTTCACAGCTTTTCACATTTGCCACGGTCTGACAGAGACAGCTTTGAGTCCTCTCCAAATGAGTATAAATGTCATCCTGGTCAGGTCAAAGCGCACTGCCTAAAGGACTTCACAGGGTCACCTGTGTCCTCTCACTAAGCCCTTCAAGCCCTCGTGGTAGACAAGGCTGCCTCTTGTGAAAGGAAGACAGGAAGGTGAACAAAGTGCAGGGCTGGGCCACTGTTACTCATGCAGAGTGCTTTGATCTGTGCGTCCCGGAGCGACTGTGCAAACAGGGATCTGCCAGGGCTGCTGCAGCAGTTTATCCATTGCCATGCCAAACTCCAGCTCAGGGGCCAGAGGTCAGTGCCAGAGCTTCCCAGCTGCAATATCAAACGCAACACATTGGGTCTAGGCCTGACTGAAGGGAAGGGGCTTTCCCACCTCAGTGAAGAGCAGCAGAGCAAAGCTGCAGGGTCAGCTCCCTCCCTCGCTCTGAGGCCCACATCACCTTCACGCACCTCAGAGGGGAGGAGCTGGGAGCCGGAGGCAGATGCTTGAGTTTGGGGACAGAGATGGTGGTGTGAATGGAGGCACCGAAGGCTGAGACAACACCAGAGATCAAGGGATTGGGAGAGAGGGCTTAAGGATTTGACATTCTTGGGTTCGGTAAAACAGATGGGGAAGCTGGAAAGTGGAGTCACTTCCAGCTCAAGGCAGGGATCAGAGACTGCAGTCCTCCCTAGGGTCAAAGGATCCTCAGCATTTGCCAGAACCGAAGAACAAACAGGACTTTGAGGTAGTGAATTCCACCATTGGAGCCTTTGATGAACGATGAACAGCTCTACAAAGATTTTTATCCTGCTAAAGACACCAACGATGGGCAAACAAATAACTGAGACTGAGCAAATGATTCTTCACAATATTTTTCTGACTGTTGTTGCCCTTCTCCAAGTGCAAAGGATACAATTTTGATCAAGTTATTCACAAACTGCTTGCTGCAATCATTTTCTGAGTACTTGCTCTCTATGTAACTGATCTCTTCAGCCACACAGCATAGCTGACTTCCCTCTTCAAGGACTGAAACACTTTTGGTGCAAATATAGACTGTTTTGGAGATTTCAGCAGCCTGTTAACCAGCATTGCAATAAGGGGTACACTCAAGGTCAGAGGGAAAAAGAAATACACACAAAATTGCAAAGGTTACAAGAAAAAGGGAAACAAATCATTCTGAGCCAATTCCTGGGGTATTTTCCATGTCTACCTCTCCTCTTGCAGATCAGACATCTTTTTGACTGATTTTATTTTTGGATGCTGAGCCAGTGCTAGAATTTAAGAGAAGAGAAGCAGAAAAGAGCATCAGGTGGCTGGATAAAGTTATTCTCATGCCGGGCTTGAAAGGAGTGTCTGTGTACACTGCTTGGCAGAGTGACAGCTAAAGCAGAGATTATGATAACACTTTGCACATGGCTATTCTTATCATCATTGATATAATGCTGCAATTCAACATGCAGAGCCCTATCACAGGAAACACACGCCAAGGCAACAAGAACTCCTGCCCCAGAGAGCCAGGCTCACTCCAAGGATAAAACAGCACCAGCAGAGAATAAGATGAAGGCTGCACAAAATCAATACCTAGCAGAAATAGGGATCCAGGGAGACTTTTAAAGGTAGAGAGGGGGCTCGGTAAATGCAGGACACTTGTTGAAGTACAACAAGCAGGAAAAAGGGCACAGGGATGTTGACTGGGCCCTTGTGGTAGAAAGCACGGGTGAGCTCTTAGCCCAGAGACCCCCATCTCCCAGCTGGTGCCCAGGCCTCCCCAGCCCATCGGCCTCTGCGCAGTTGTTCTGGGTCACATCCCACAGCTACATCCTTGACCTTGAAGAGGAGTAGTGGGGAAAGAGCAAGAAAAGTGTCAAGAAGGGCAATGTGGGAAGAGGCCTGTGTGACACCCTGGGGGAAGGAGCTTGGCAGGAGGATGGAGAAGCAGCTGGACTCTGATACAGAAAGACAGCAGTTGTAGGGGGATTAAGGGGCCAGGGTTACAAGGCAAAAGGAGGGGCCTGGGATGTGGCCTGCTGAAGGAGCATCTGCCTCCTTCATGGCTAAACTAGGCCATTGTAGGGGAGGAAGGCTGTGAGCTCTTAGAGTAAGGCTGCCCACAAGCAGGATGGTGACCAACAGTCATGTACAGCTGAATAAGGCTCTCAAACAAAATCCATTACTAGATGGGTTCAGCTCTGGTAACAAAACTATGATGACTAAAGGCCGGCGAACAGTCACCCTGTCAAGTCATGAGTATTCTAATCAATCGAGAGGTTTATTTCCTTGGAGGGTTAGAGGTCCTGGAGAAGAGAGAAGGAGCTAGTGAGGATGACCACGGCAGTGGTCTTATCCTCCCTGTGCAGACCTTCCTCAGCCACTCTTTGAACTCAGTAACATGACAGCATTTTTAGTACTCAGATCAGAAATTGAGTCAGGAGAGCTTAAGGGGAAAACTGTTAAAACAGTTTAAAAAATCTTTTAGCTTCTTAGAAGACGAGTTTTCAAGCATCAGCTCCAGAGCAGCAGTAGACCAATCTTAGGCTCCCATCCCAGTCAAGAAAGGGATGGGCATTGCCATCTGGAAGCCCATGCAACTGCAGAGAAACAGCCCTGAGCTGGCAAATCCACCACAGTGATTGTCACAGGAGAGGTGTAGGATATCATGTGCCATCTTGTATATCAGCTGCATCTCTGACATCCTGGTGTAAGGGCCATTGGTGGGATACCCCAGGCACAAGAATGTTCTGCAGTTACCTAGGCTATGCAAGGGGAAACCCTGCAGGTACTCTCTGGGCTTCCCACACCCTGTGAAACAGTGTGATGTACGCTCCTGATATCACTAGAGGTCCTGGACAGCAAGAGGAGTCAGAGGCGTCGGCCTCCAGTGTGCATTGAGGGCTGCGCTAACGTGCAGTTTTAACAGCCTACGCGTCCTATCCAGGGTAATCACCAGCTCTCAGATATGTGCAACTTCGATGGCTTACTCAGCAGTTCAAACTTTCCTAGCTTTTGTTGCCACAGCCTCTGTTAAAAAACTGCTGAATATGGGAGAAAGGTGAGCTTCAGGGCTGCAGGGACACCTCGAATATGCCAATATGTACAGTAAAGTAAAGGCACTAGTACAGGCTGCCCCTCCGTACCACTGAGAGGTTTCCTTCCCTCCAACTAAAGCCAAGGGTGTTCAGGATACTCTGTGACTGGGGGGAGGCCTTGTGCCCTCAACCAGGAGCTCGAAAAGATGCTGAACAGGAAGGACTGCTTGCTAAAAAGGTTTACCTGCCCTCTTGAGCCAAGCGGCAGAGAGGGCAGAAAAGGGGACCCTGTCCAGTATTTCACCACCAGCAGAGGCTGCCTCACCTGAACACAATCCAAATAAAGCAAAAAAAAGAGCTAAACACATTTTTGTCAGGTTTGTACGGTGCTTATGGAAAATAACACAACGTTTCATACAGAGACAATGATAAAAGGGTGCAGACTGAACTACTGAAGAAAAAGCTAATGTTAGGCTTCGCTGCTCAACTTTTTCAGAGAAACAAAGATTTTAAGGCTTAAAATGACCCTCGTTCTTACCTGACTTCCTTATTACCAGAGAATTGTATCAGTGACCTCAGCTTTTGACATAGTAACTGTTGTTTGACTAAGGCACCTCATTCACAGGAGATCTGATCTGACATCTAAGCTCTCCCATCACTTTGTAATGTGGACAGTGGCCCTCACTGTTAAAGACGCGTGTCCTAATTCTAGATCGTCTGGCTTGCACTTGTCTGAATTGCTCAGCACTGATTCTTGATGTGCCAATTCCAGTGAAGTATTACAATATTATTTTTAAAGATATGGCGACAGAAGATGTTTTCTGTGTCCATGTGTCCACACAAAGCGCAGGACAAGGGGCACAGAAAAGCACACATCTCTTCAACAGGCTGGCAAGCAATGGGAGGCTGCAGAACAGAGGGAGGGGCACAAGGCTGCCTGGCAGTAAAGCTTACATGGTGCTGGGGAAAGGTCTGAGCTGTTCCAGAGCAGTCACATTAGAGTAAACCCCACACCAAAGCCAGGCAGTCCAAAAAGCAGAAAAGGATGGATATTGAGGTTGGCTGGCACAGTGATTCTCCCAGGAGACCTCTCTCTACCCATGGCCTTTTCTCTGCCTTCCAACAGCTCCTTTCTACCCTGCAACCTCCTCTCGTTTTTACTCTTTTCTGCACAACAGTTTCTTTTTCCAGATTCATCCCATTCAGGGCATTTTTGCACATACCTTGTTAGCCAACGACAGGCATGGGTTGGGATCTCGATCCGGCTGTTCAAGCTTGACAATGGTGATGAATCCTGATTCAGTGTGTTCATCCTCACTGGTGTTGCACAGGGACAGTGGGTGGGACTGCATGGAAAAAAGCAAAGGGCACTCAGACCTTGGGGCTCAGCACTGTAAAAGGTGGTTCAAGCTTACTGCAAACTTTGTGCTTTATGGACCTCCTCAGAACAGGGTAAGGGATACACCTTCAGGACCCTAGCAGTAGGCATCACAACTACTTTACCCCATTGAGTACATCATGGCCCTATCTGGCAGCTCAGTATATTAAGCAGTATCACTGTGGCTTTGAACGCTGTAAAAAGCAAGTCACTGTCAGATTTTTGGTCCAGCACAAAAATGTCCCAGAGAAAGATACAGTTTCTACTGTGGGTTAGACACAGGTCTGGCTTTGTCACAGTCACAGATATTCAAAGCCAGAACACAGCTTATGGAGTCAGAGCTCTTGATTTCTGGGACAGAGCATCCTGACAGCATAGGCACTGGTGCTGCGAGACATGTCTGTGTCCTCCGAAGCCCTGGAGCACAGGACTCACTTTACACATAGCCAGCTTGCTCTCAAAGCAGCGAGCTCTAGGCAAGGCTAAGGGATAACAACAAAAGCAAACTTCTGGTGCCACTGCACTTCAGAATCAGTGCTTCTTGTATCTCAGCTGCTGAACTCAGCACCTCTCTGATAAATTTAGAGAGGACAAGAAGCCAAAGGAAGTAGTGAGAAACTGAATGCAGGTAACAGTAGAGAAGTACAAGGAATGAGAGGGAAGAGGAAGAAATCTTGGTAAATACACCCTAAGTGAGCCCTGGAAAAATGTTCATCAGCTTGAGGCAAACTGCTCGCAGCAGGAAGCAGAGCTTGCAGCTGACGCTGGAACACAGTGCAGGACAGGATCTAGGCAGGCGGGTCAGCCCAGTGTGGCCATGCACCTTTGCAGAGCACTTTCCTTGGAGACAGGCTCCGTCGTCTTCAGAAGATAAAACTAAGGCGCTGGGAAAGAAAGGGACATTTCACGTAAGCACCATCAGCAACAGGAGTCAGACCAGGGTTCCTGCTTTCCAGAGCACTGGTCAGAGGTGCAAGGACAGCCCAAGCTCACTCTGCACCACACACCACGGATATATATAAGAGCCTTCAGACACTGTTTATCTTGAGCGGACAGGAGCTACAGACCAATCGATCTCAGCTCTGTGGACACAGAGCCCATCGAGCCCACCACCACACCCTGCAGAAGCAGAGCCAGCAGCTCAGCATGGTGTCATGGACCAGAAAGCAGCAACTGAAGGCCTGCCCTAGCAATATCTGCACACACTGTGGATACACAAGCTGTGGGGCTAACGTCTGCTAGAAACACTTGGTTAAAGTTTCAGTGGTAAAACCCATTCAAGGTGATGCAGAGCCTGCCCTGCTGCCAGGCTGTGATGTGCAGTGCCTCAGGCCTGTGCATTGGTTGTCACAATAACATTGGCTGAGGGCTTTTCTGATCCCTACCTGAAAAGCATGTAACTGTTGCTGATTTTTCAGGCTAGCAGTAGAGGAAAGATGGTTTTGTGCTGAATGACTAGAGGCTGTAGGAAGGTGGAATTCAGTTTTTGGCTCTCTTTTAGGAGTCCTGTCACATTGCATAAAACCTCCCATCTCTTCCTAGAAAAGCTGGCTAGCTTCCTCCTCTAAGAGGTGTTCTGTAACTAAGTTGTGGTGTATGAAGTACACAGAGGTTATGGTACAGTAAGAAAAGCCTGTAAATACTAAGGTTGCTGAACAGCTTTTAGTAATGCATCAGTGCATGGAAATGTGGGAAACAAGCAAGGAAGTTCAAAGCACAAGATGCTTTGAGGAAGAGTACGTGCCTCCCAAGTGATTTTTCAACAATATCCCAATGCTGCACAAAAAGGCTGTTGATTTGGCAGACTCAAAAACAGAGGGGAAAATGCTGATCCCTGCTCTGACCCCTATATATTGCTGCAAGAGCAGGCTGAGGGAGACCCCATGTTCTCCATCCTCACTTGGTCATCCATGCCCATGTCGACACAGGGGCTGCGAGGCAACACTGCCCCCGTCTTCAGGCTTCTGCCGGACCCCAGCACTGGTCCAGGATATGAAAAGATGCCAGCTGACATGAGCTCACCCCCTTAGCCAGCATGGGGCTGGCAAGAGCTGGGGAATGAGGCAGGCTTGGTAACAGCCAGATGATGTTTCCTCCTCTCGGTGGGGGGGGGGGGGGAGGGAAGGAGAATGGGGATCACTTCACCTACCTTCAGACACCTCAATGTTGCCATTTAACATATGAGTGGGTCACTTAGACTCCTCATCAGCAAAAACAGGTACTTCAAGGGAGCACGACTCATCTGGGCCATTTTTAGTCAGGTACTTCAGGATGAGATGAACTGTGCCCGTTTCTTGTGTCGACAACAAAGGAGTGTGGATGATTAGCTAAGATGCAGCCATCTGCACTGTACACATCAAAAGCCAAGGGAGACAAGTGGCACCTCCAGCCACTCAGAAATGCAAAATGTCCTCACTGGGCCTCCAGGGCCCTGGCAGCCAAAATCTCTGCCCATCGGAGCCTCCACGGCCAGGGAAGATATGAGCACCTCAGCAACACGCTGAAGGGGCTAGGGATGGACGGCAGAAATAAAGGCTTAGGATGTCTACTCGTAGCTAGGAGGCTGGCTGCAGAGCGCAGACAAGGCCTGCACACCATGCCCTGCTGTCTCTGTGCCTGCCAGATCTGGCCAAAGCTCTGCCCAGCCCCACCTGTTCTCGCAGCCTCCAGTTCAGGGATGACTTCATGCAAAAGCGTTTCTGTAACTACCTGGGCCAAGAGATGAGTATCTATCACCCAAACAGCTCAGCAAAACCCCCGGAGCTGCAGAAGGGAGCTCCTACCACTTGGTGGGGCTCTTGGCCGGATCCTGCCCCTCTCTGCCAAGCTCAGCCGCAGCATGAGACCTGGCTGCCGGCCAGCGGAGCGAGGGGGATCCCTGGAGATGAGGGGTCCTTCCTGTAGCCCCATCCCACAACCCAATGGGGAGGTGGCCCAGGAGTTGTGGCAAAGCTACAGAGAGCCCTGAGCCTGGCCGGTTCTGCACAAGACCTTCTTTATTAGGTGGTTCTGAGGTCATTTCCAACACACCAGCAGAAAGATTTAAGAAAGTTCAGAAGAGGTGCAGCAACATTTGTTTCTGGGCAGAGGCGGGCTGATCCCGTCCCTGGATATCTGCCTGTACAACTGCTCTGTGCGAGCGCGAAGATTCCCTTGAAGCTGGGCTTGAAAAAAAGGTGGAGTTTCCTGCT